GCTGGGCTCGCCCAGGCAGGGGGTTTGCCAGGCGACATGACTGCTGCAGGAACTGGTAATGATGGGGTGTAATGCCCTCCCCTCAGCGCGGCCTTTGGCTTCAGACTTGCTGGGGTGGTGGGTGGCTGTGGGTTTCATTCCTTCTTTTAAGCAGAGCAATGCTGCCTCCGCGGGTCTGAGGCCACAGGAAAGACTGAGACCCTATCACTTCCCTCGAGGGAGAGCTGACTCCGAAGGGGCCGGACCCAGTTACAGGTCTGAATAATGAATGACAAGGACTGTAAAAAGCAGTGCAGGTTAATACCACTTGAATTCCTCTAATAGACTGCATACCGCTTTCAAACACACGCTCCAGCACTGGTACAACGCAAAGCCGATCGAATCACACTCCCTGCTTGAGATCCTCCCGTCTCTCCACCGCTTTCCGGATCAAGTGCAGACTCCTGACCCTACCCCTCCCCAAACGCTCACCTGTGCTCCCCCAGCCCATCTTCCTCCGCGAACCCCTTCACCATCTGCCCACCCACATGCCCTGACATGCTGCCGCCATTGTTCCTTCCCTCTCCCTGCTCACCCCCACACTGCACACATCTGGGTAATTCATTTGCCTGGGGTATCAAGGCCTCCCCCTGTTCTCAGAACCCTGTACCTGTCTCCGTCACAGACGAATCACAAGAGGCCGTGATGTCTTCTTAGCTGTCTCCCTCCCACCCGCCGGGGGAACACACAGCGGGGCTGGGTCTTCTCACTGGAGTCCCCAGGACTCGGCGTGGCTCTGGCCCAGGGAGAGCGTCTACACAGTGCACAGGCCTGAACGAATGGATAAAAGCCACCTGCTGCCTTAGAAAGCACTCCGCCGAGACATGAACTGGGAGCACAGAGCTCCGGGAGCCCCGTCTTCATTCCTCATTTTCGCCTACGTACCTTTGTAAAGAAACAATGATGCCTACGTAGACTGGGGTTTTTAAAGATTTTCTTAGTACAAATATTAAGCAGAAGAGCTGTTTTATGAAAAGATGCTCATTCAGAATGAACCTGCCAATGATGAATGAGCTAAAGGACCCCCAGGTTTTATTCACAGGCGTCCATTAGCGTTCCCCCTCTAGACGCAGGCACAGAGCTCACCCTGCAACTGGCTGGGCAAGCCCTTTCTTCCCAGGAGCTCACAAAGAGAGCCATCTGTCCAGGTCCAGGTGCGACTGTCTCACGCCTGTCTTCCTGGAGCTGAATCAATGAGGCTTCCCCGGCCTCTCCTTCTCGTGGGGTTTCCATGGGAATCCTCCCACGCGTGACTGAGCCAGGAGCCCCCAAGGCGGAAGCTCGGGCTGTCAGCCAACAACAAGAGCAGGGGATGGGCAGAGGAGGTTTGCAGGCCAGCATGCTCTGCAAGGTCATTTGAAAGAGACACACCTTCCTGGCAGGCCTGGTCCACGCTGCAGCTGCCCCTGTGCCCAGAGGGCTACCCCAGGCACATGTGGGTGGGTCTGCAGGACAGCTGGTCTCTGGGAGGCCCAGCATGGCTCAGGCTGGAGCAAAGCTGGAGGAGTGGGGGTGGGGGAGGGTGCTGCATAATGCGACCCTCTTGGGAAGACTCCTATGAAGAAAACACACGAATCTTCGTGTCTAGCCCCTCATTTCTCTCCCAGGCTGCACTACGCCCCGTTGGTATAACTGGTTGTCTGAAAACTCGGATGCCTGAAAGAAAAGCGAACCTATTCATGCCTCAGACTTGATCTAGGCTAACATAATAGGGATCTGCTGGGAATTCTGAAGGTCTCTCTGGTAAGCCTGACGGGTCTCTGAGATCATTTTTGAGATACCAATCATTGTTGAGATACCAGGGGGGAGACTAGAGAGGAAGAGGGGATGGTGAGGAAGCAGGGAGCCAGGGGGACCCAGAGAGAGAGAGAGAGAGGCAGCACCAGGTGGGAGCCACTCGACCCCAGGAACCTGTGTGACTTGCATATCCCACAGGGTGTGGGTGACAGGTCAGATGTCTCTGTGGCCCAACTCACTGGATCGAACTGCACTTTTTCCTGGAGAAGGCAGAGCTCCTGGCTCACCCCAAATGACATTCCACAGGACGAACAGCCAGGTGGGCGACTGTGGAGCAGCTCTGGGCCTCTTCCTTTGGACATAACGGCACATGATGGTGTAGGGCTCACAGCAGCTTCCTGCCACCTCTTGGCTCCAGGGACCACCTTGCTTGCCCCATAAATGGGGTACCCCTTAGGTCACATCTTCAGTCTCTGCTCCTCTCTCTCTCTCTCTCTCCATGTCTCATGGCTTGATTGGCATTCCCAGCCCTTGCAGATTCTCCCAAATCGGGTCTCCAGCCCTGCCTTCTCTCCTCAGCACCCAGCGATCTAGAAGCCTCAGGGCACCCCAGACTAGGGCTCCTTCAAAAGACCTTGTAAAGCCAGCTGGCTTCTTTTTCACCATAAGCCTCCACCCTCTCCAGATGTCAGACATGGAAACACCCACTGGCACCTCAGAATGCACACCCCAGGGCTGACCTCAGTCCCTTCCCTCTCTGGCATACCAGGTTCCTCTCTGCACATCCCTGCGCCTGCCATGGGTCCCCCCTCTCTCAGTCTCCCTCACTCAATGTCTTCCACTTCCCTGGCCTGGATTACTGCGATGGTCTTCTTACAGGGCTATGGGGCTCCAATCTGTGCTCCCCAACCCACCTTTCCTGCAGCCCACCTACCTTTTCTTTCAACTCTCCAGGTGGCTTCTCCAAGAAGAAGCTGCACCCCTTAGCTTAGTGCATAAAAGTACTGTTCTTGCTTATTTCTCCCACACCCAGTCTCCCTGCATGGCCCACTGCAGGCCAGTCACGCCAGACTCCCCAGGCACCACACGCCTTGGTGTCCCGGGAGCCTTCCCACCTCCTCTTGCCTGACTGACACTCATTAATCCCTACCCCACATCCAAGCAGGCCAGCAGCCTCCACAGCAGCCCTCCTTCCTCCTGCATCAGTCTTTGAAATAAAATAGAAATACAAACTGGAAAGATGTTTAAGTGGAACAGCTGGCAAGTTGAATTTTGTTTGTTGTTTGCCAAATGTAGTTTAAATTTCATCTATTACTACTTTTCAGGAAGAAAAAAATAATGAAATCAGGGCCCTGGCCGGAGAGCTCAATTGGTTAAAGCTCATCCTGACATGCTAAGGTTGTGGGTTTGACCCTCAGTCAGAGCACATATAAGAATCAACCAATGAATGCATAAATGAGCGAAACAACAAATCTCTCTCTAATCAATAAAAAAATTATAAAATAAATGGAATCAATCAGAGGGCTATGCCCTTGTGTAAAGCATGTTTATATTACGCCACCGATACTTTGTCTTTCTAAGAACTCCATAATCAGTAGTGCTTAAAATAAATGAAGGGTTTGGAGGATGAGGAGGGATTCCCCATCAGCCTGAGTGACAGAAGCTGCAGGATTTGGTTGGAGGGTAGAGGCTCCCAAATGGGAAAATCTAGTGTCCTGATCCCCTCTTGCCCAGGTGCAGGGTGCAGTGACCAGCAGGGAAGAGGGCGGGCAGATCCTGAATTCTAACAGCGTTTACCCCAGGCTCAGCGTTACATTTTAAGTCTTCCTGATTTAGGCTCATCAGAGTGCAGGGTGGTGGAGGGAGCGGGGGAGGGGATGTTGGGAGGATGGGGACGAAGATTCCTAGAGAGGAGAGAACTACTCTCACCCCCACCTCCAACCTCCTCCAGAGGAGGAAACAGAGCTGGGAGAGATCACAGTACTTGCCCAAGGTCACACCACAGGCGGGTGGTGAAGGCAGAATTTGAACTCGAGCCTGACTCCAGAGCTGGGATCCTTCCACCTCCTGGTGACAGCGGTAGGGAAGCGCCCTCCTCTCCCTTCCAGTCGGGAACAGCCCGGGCTGCACGCTCCGACTGCGGGGAGGTGGGGACAGCCTCTCCCCCCCACCTCCCTCCCCGCCCCCGCTTCTCCCCGCTAGGGCCCTCGGTGGGTCCCTGCGCCAACCAGGCCGACAC